TGGGAAATGTGCACCTCCCATCTGCTCCAGATGGCTCTCCATGGTCCAGCAATCTAAGAACTTAAAGACAAGTTAACCTGCCCCAACTTATCCAATATACAAAAAGGTGGTATAGGAGCAAGATAGCCACATTAAAATTGTGATTCAGAAAAAGGGAGAAAGGAAAATCTGCTGTGGTTACTGGTCTGGAACAATATGAAATTCCATGAGGCAGAAATAGAAACTTCCTTTCCTTCAGTTCTGCTTTCTAGGAAACTCCTTCTGGGGCCTCTAGTTTTGCTCCCTGGGAGCTTCTTTCTAGTCTCTGGTCTCACCCTCAAAATGCACTAAGGAACACCAGGGAGCTGCTGACATTTCAACGCTTATTTTCTGTTAGCAGTTCAAGTCTGTTTTCCTCAGGGAAAAACTCTTTTTTCCCTGTTTCCATACCCTCTTCCTTACTTCCTCTTTTGGACTGTCCTTGACACAACAGGAAAGAAAATGCTGCAGTACCTTTCTTTTCCATCATCTCAGTTTTGAGTAAACCTCTGATTATTATTTACCTTTTTTTTTAAGATTTTATTTATTTATTTGACAGAGAGAGACACAGCGAGAGAGGGAACACAAGCAGGGGGAGCGGGAGAGGGAGGAGCAGGCTTCCCGCGGAGCAGGGAGCCTGATGCAGGGCTCGATCCCAGGATCCTGGGATCATGACCTGAGCCGAAGGCAGACGCTTAATGACTGAGCCACCCAGGTGCCCCTATTATTTACCTTTTAATATCTTTGCTTCTTACAGGAAAGAAAGGGAACATCAATTCAAACTTTCCTATCATAATTCATCTGTCAGTCTCAAAAAAACCTTTATACATTTTATTCAAAAACATTTGTTGAGCACCTACCACGTGTGATACACTAAGGATTCCAGGTTCAAGGAGATCCTGGTCCCCATCTTGGTGGGGTAGTTACAGGGTATATATAATTGACAACACTTATCAAAATATACATTTAAAATCTGTTCATTTTATTGCATGTAAAATATACCTCAATAGAAATGGGGCCGTTCAAGGAAAGATAATACAAGGAAATGTTTAAGGTTTGTTGTAGCTGCCATAGTAATTTCAAGTTAAATTTAGGTTGTGAACGTGACTACTCCATGTGCTGTGTGTATAGGGCCCCAGATACTGGGTCAAGTACATGGACCCTCTAGAGAACTTGAAATGTTAACATTTTATAGTTGTTGTAATTGCCTATTTTATCATTTCATCAGTTGCAAAAATTATTTTTAAATGTGGCATGTAGCAGTACTAAAATCATTTAAGCTTTTCGTTAGCAAACCTGGGTTCAAATCCAAGCTTTCTCTGTGATTTAGGGGAAACGACCCACGCCTGTTTCATCTGAAAGTGGAGAGAATGCCCTACTTCACAGGATAGTTGTGGCAGCTGAGTAAGTGCCAAGGCATAGCAAACATTCCCTTTCCCGAGTTACCTCCCCCCAACATCTTTTGATGTGAAGTCCTTGGCCAGGATCGGATTACCAACTATGGCTAACACAGAAATACTGGTCCTTTACAATGATCCACATTATCCAGTTCCCAAAGCATTTTAAACTTCACACATACAATTCCACAATTCATTCATCATTCTTACTGAATATCTACTATTACTAGAACCTGTGCTAGCCTCTAAAGATACAAACGCAGTCCTGCATTTATGAAGTTTACATTCTAGGAGTCAAGATTATTTACATGCACACACATACAAAATCAGGTGGGTTAAAATTCTCTGAAAAAGTAAGATGAAGGAAGAAAATGATGGGGAAACGAAACAGGTGTAGAGTTCGCTATTTTACATAAGGGTGAAAGAAGCCCTCTCCATCAAGGTGACATTTGAGTACAGATTAAAGAGAGGAAGCCAACCATGTGGACGTCTGGGAGAAGAGTTCCAGCAGAGAGAAGAGCAACTCAGACACTTGGGTAAGTACATGTGTGGCCTTACTGAGGAACAAGAGATCAAAACAGCAAGAGTGCAAGTGAACATGGAGGGAAGAATCCTAGGCAAGGAGGAGATCAAGGGCGCATAAGACCAGATTACAGTCTTATAAATCACAAGTACAAATTCAGAATTTTATTCCCAGTGATAGGAAGCCACTGGGAAGTTCTGAGGGTGTGATGTAATCTTAAAAGGATCACTCCTGGGGGGTTCAGTTGGTTAAGTGTCCAACTCTTGATATCAGCTTGGGTCTTGATCTCAGGGTTCTGAGTTCAAGCCCTGTGTTGGGCTCCATGCTGGGTATGGAGCCTACATAAAATAAAGTAAAAAATTAAAAAAATAAAAGGGCACTCTGGATCTGAAGCAGAAAACAGACTGTGAACATGTAGGGGAAGGAGGAAGACTTCCATGAGTCTAAGGCAGCAGCTCTCAAACCTGAGTTATGTCAGTCTTCTGAGGACTTGCTAAAACACATACGGATCACACAAAAAGCTGTACACAAATGTTTGTAGCCACTTCACTCCTAACAGCTAAAAACTGAGAACCCAGATGTCCTCCATGTACATCCATACCATGGAATACTACTCAGCAATAAAAAGGAATAATCTGATACACACAACCTAAATGACTCAACAAATATGCTGAGTGAAAAAAAGCCAGTCCCAAAAGTTTATTTACTGTATTAATTCCATTTATGTAACTTTCTTGAAATGACAGTTACAGATATGGACAACAGATTACTAGTTGCCAGGGGCTAGGCATGGGGGTGGGTTGTGGGTAAGGGTGGCTATAAAAGGGCAATATGAGGCATCCTTGGGGTAACGGAAAAATTGACTCACCAATAATCAATACCCTGATACTGTAGTTTTACATGTCACCATTGAGGGAAACTAGGTAAAGGATACAGGGATCTTTCTGTAGCATTTCTAACGCTGCATGCAACTTCACGACTATATGGAAAGAAGTTAACAATTCAACATAACAGCTAAAGTACTTAAATCACAGAGATCGCTAGGCCTCACACTGTTTCCAGACCTGAAAATGCACACTTTTAACAAGTTTCTAGGTGATGATGCCAGTCTGGGAACAGCTATGAGAACTATCAATTTAGAAAATTTAGAAAATAACACCTTGGGGCAAGTATTGTTATTCCTATTTTTTGGAAGAAACCAAAGTCTCAAGATTAAGTGACTTCACCAAGGGCTAGGAACTAAGTGGCAGGACCAGGACTCAAACCAGATCCTATCAGCTCAGTGTTTTTGCCTAAGCAAATCAAGGTCAGAAATAATCTTAATTATACAGACTCTGCAGTGTCTAGAACAGAATAGACCAATGCTTGTTGGATTGCACTGCTCTAAAAACCAAAATTCTGTAAAATGTAGCTTAGTTGTAAACATCTCATACTTTAAGATCTCACTTTAAGATATACACACACATTCAAGGGTGTACTAGTCTCAGCTCTTACCTGTGCTTTGAACAAGTGCTTCAACTGTTCCTTAGCTTCCCCAGATAGAAGATCAAAGAACTAGTCCCTTCCTACTTAACTCTGGATTTCTCACTTTAAATTAATCTACTGGGTTTTGGGCACCTGGGTGGCTCAGTCGGTTAAGCGTCTGCCTTCAGCTCGGGTCATGATCCCGAGGTCCTGGGATCAAGTCCCACATCGGGCTCCTTGCTCTGGGGGAAGCCTCCCTCTCCTCCCCACTTGTGCTCTCTCTCTCTCAAATAAAATCTAAAAAAAAAAAAAAATTAAAATCTACTGGGTTTTTAAAGACAGCTACAAGTTAACCCTCAATGAACACAAAACCAGTTTGCTATCCATGTTAGTATTTTATCAAAATGGACACCTGACATAATTTTACTTTCTCAATCTCAATTTCTGAAAATCCTGAGCAAGAAAGAGGTGTTAATGTGCACCACAATTCTAACTAAACAGAAGTTCACAAACACTAAAATTTAGCCAGGACTGGGAGGGGGTGCACATTCCTAAGCAATTCTATGGGATTTAAAAACTGCTAATGCTAAGAGTTTTTAGCAAAATCATTAAGTGCCTAGATTCATAGAGATGTTGAAGCAATTACATTAAGTGCTTGCCAAAAATGACTTTCCTGCAGTTAGCTCTCAGGAATTTCACTTTAAAATCCCATTATGCAGTAAGCCTCCATAATAGTCTCCTACGTCTCCATGGTAAAGTTAACAAAACTTGAGGAAATAGGCTTAAATAGTTAAGAGGGTTTACATCAGAAATAAGGAAGAATTTTCTGGGAATGACAGCTCTAGTCACCTGAGATTACATTCATGATTATTCTCTACTTAAACACTGGATGTTTAAAACATTCAAGCCAATGGGCTCCTCCCAAATCATATCTTATTTCAGGCCTACTTTCCTCCATTAATTACAATTCTCTAAGTAAATAGAGCTATTTTGTTAGAGTTACAGAAAAAGCTAAATTAAAATAGGATTCAAATACAGGTGGAGAGGGGCACCTGGCTGGCTTGGTCCGTGGAGCATGCAAATACATGCAGAGATCCCAGGAAACCAGGATCTGATACTGAAAACTAATTCCCATTCATTGTTTTAGTAGAAAGTGCTACTATTCTATGTAACTATCCATGGGCTCTTGCCCAGACAGCTCTAGATTCCAAACACCAATGGAGGGAAATCTCAGACTAATTTAACTGACAAAGCAGGCACACGACTCCGCAAAGCCATCCCCATCCCCTACCAACAGAGCCACAGAACCCATTTCTTTCAGTGACAACTTTACTCCAGTGACATGCAAAAAGGGCCAGTTCACCACAAACTGAGAACTGTCTCTACTTTTACTACCTTAGAAAATCCCAGGGGAAATTATCAATTCAATGCAAAAGGAAGCGGAATCCACTTAAGTGAATGGCCAAGAATTAACTTGAAAGTTCTATTTTTTAAGGTAGCATCTAGGCATATATATATATACACTGCTTTGAAAAGTACAAAAGGCTAAATTTTTACCTAATAGCCCATTATGTTTGATTCAAAAAGGACTCAAGACATAACACTGTTAAAAACATTTATTTTGGTACAGTCTATGATAAATAAGTCAGGAGAGGTTCCACTCTGCCACAGATTCATCTGAGAAGAGCCCTGTGCCATTCAACTGGTGAATGTCTGAACGACGTCCCATCTCTTATCCCAGCCAGAGCGCACACCTTCCATGTTGTTCCTGTCCATTGATTGCTTCCAAATCCAGATGACCTTTATCCCCAAAGTAAGCTAAAATGTTTGTGAAGAGGAGAAATAAATTAAACCCCAAAGTAAAAACTTAAACATAGTTTAAGAACTAGATTTTATACATTTACGTTTGTGTTTACTCATCAAATTCAGAGATACTATAAGACAAGGCTCAATCTCACTGACCAAAAAAAATTAAGAGATATATATTTAAAGAAATACAGATTTGTTACTTTTGAGTGTGGTTACCTACTGTAAACAAAAAGGAAAATGTAAGTTGAGGTCTGTCAAAAGATAAATGATTTTAATGATTTTCATTAACATGAAGGACTGATGAACCCACAATATAAAACCGTATCATTAGATACCACATAGTAAAGCTGAAAATACCATTTACCGAATGCTTTCTATGGGTCACTACCGTGTAGAAAGTTCCCAACTCCCAATTATGACTTTTATTTTAAATACATGGAAGAAACCAAGGCTTTGATATGGTTACCCATCTTAAGTGGCAGAATGATATGACCCAGGTGCCCCCCCCTTTTTTAAGTAGGGTCCATGCTCAGTGTGGAGCCCAATGTGGGGCTTGAACTCATGACCCTGAGAAGAGATCAAGAGTCAGACGCTGAACTGACTGAGACACCCAGGCGGCCCCTGACCCAGGTGCTCTTAACCATTACAACACACCCATCCCAGGAGCAATTATTAGTCTTCATTTCAGCCTCAACTCTTACCTCGAACATTCCAGCCACTTACTAGCCCAAATTCCTAAACCATTTCCTGACTAAGCAACAGGATTCTGGAGGAAGACAAGAGGTGTTTTATTTCTAAGTCTTGCTGATGAAAAATGTGGTTTCCGGGCGCCTGGGTGGCTCAGTTGGTTAAGCGACTGCCTTCGGCTCGGGTCATGATCCTGGAGTCCTGGGATCGAGTCCTGCATCGGGCTCCCTGCTCAGCGGGGAGTCTGCTTCTCCCTCTGACCCTTCCCCCTCTCATGTGCTCTCTCTCTCATTCTCGCTCTCTCAAATAAATAAATCTTTAAAAAAAAAATGTGGTTTCCAGTAACATGTCACATAAAATTGCATTACAAAATGATAACTTGAACATTCTCTGAAGTTTTTTTTGTTTTTGTTTTTAAGTATTTGCTTTGCCTGGGAAAAAGCCCAGCATCCATTTCCAATTTTCACCAAAAGTGTATTAAAATTTCCCATTAAATGCCAAGTATTTTTGCATAGAGTTAAGATATAAAAATGAACTATTCATCTATTAAGGTCTCCTCAGTGGTAATGAGCATCCAAAATAAAGAGAAAAGAAGGTCTTCCTTGGCCTTACACAGACAATGTGAACAAGTATTCTCTTAGTTTACCTCAGTGTTCATATATTTTGCCTAAATAATGTTTTACTAAGTACTGCTCCGTGTTCACTCAAGTACTGCATTTTGTATATGGACTGATATCAACCAACATCTGCGGACCACGGATAGCGCACTACCTGGGTGAAAGAGGACGCTAAGACCAATCTGGTCCTAATCCCCAGAAACCCAACAACTTAGCAAGGGAAGCAGACCAGTACATCATGAACTAGATTCAGATACGTATTACTCTTCCCTAAATTGCAAATACCCCTGGAAGGAAACCAGAAGATGCCCCTAATGACAGAAAAGAATGAAGGAGCACCAGAGAGGAGAGCAGCACTAAGAAGACATGTTGTGAAGAAATGAAAAAGCTGGGGGTGGCTGCTCCATCCAGACTGCAACGTTGAAGGGTCAACGCTTGGTGGGATAACTGAAGCCAAAAAGAAGTAAAGAACTACAACAGAAGGGCACATTCTATTCCCACCTCGGCACAAAAAATGCTATTCTCCACCTTGCAGATCCAGTCTAAAAGTCCTACCACAAGATGCAGTGCTGTATTAATTCCTGTCCAAAAAGGTCAGAATCATTTAATTAAGTTAATTCAACTCTTGCTGGCAGCTACTTTAGGTGCTCACAGGATATAATGTAATGTAAATAAGCAACAAGCACAATATAAGGCAGAGAACGATGCACACAAACGAGTATTATGGGAACACAAAAACTAGAGAGGTTTCAGCTACGAGAAGGGGGAAAAGATTTAAGGAAGGGATGACATTTGAGATTGGGCTTTTCTAGACATGGTTTTTCATCAAGTGGGAACAAGGGAAAGAGCATTCCAGGCTAAGGGAGCACGAGCACTGGGAGAAAGGCACAAAAATATACAGTTTGTTCTGGGATTAGCATACAGTAGCTTGCAGCTGGAGGAAGTTCTCACAGGAGAAACAAGTGAGGTGAAGGGCGCCTGGGTGGCTCAGTCGTTAAGCATCTGCCTTCGGCTCAGGTCATGATCCCAGGGTCCTGGGATCAAGCCCCGCATCGGGCTCCCTGCTCCGCGGGAAGCCTGCTTCTCCCTCCCCCACTCCCCCTGCTTGTGTTCCCTCTCTCGCTGTGTCTCTCTCTGTCAAATAAATAAATATAAAATCTTTAAAAAAAAAAAAAAAAGCGAGGTGAAGATGACACAGAGAAGATTAAAAATTACTATTAACAGTTTACTGCTCACATATTACTTGCCGAGTACTCATTATACTTGATATACGATACTCTTACCCAATCCTCACGAAAACTTTATGAAGTAGATATTATACCCAACTTATAAAAGAGGAAACACTTCACTCTAGAAAGGCTAATGGCCTTTTGGGAAAAGGTATTTGATAATTTCCAGTACTTGGAAAACGTTCACATTGCTTGACCAGGTAGTCCCTTCTCTGATGTTTTCTAAAGATTTCCCTATGAAAATAACTGCTCTGAGGTCAATCAGCTAGTATGAAAATAACTGCTCTGAGGTCAATCAGCTAGTAAATAGCAGATACATAACCTCAAGTCCCCATTTTACAATTCAAAAGGGAGAGGCTAAGAAAAAAGGAACTTACTAGAGATCTCTGAAAGCAGTTTTTAGAAGCCGCACCATAAATGGCTAAAGGGAGAGGAAAGTGAAGAAAGAAGCAGTGAGTGAAGACCATTTACTGAAGAATTTTATCAGGGAAAAAGAAAGGAACTTCAGAAATGGACAAATTGGGGGACAACATGGCTGGCTCAGTCAGTAGAGTGTGCGACTCTTGATCTTGGGGTTGTAAGCTCAAGCCCAGATTGGGTGTAGATACTACTTAAAAATAAAGTTTAGAAATGGACAAATCGAGGGCACATACAGTGGAAACTTATGAGAAGAAAAACCCCTTCCTCTCAGAAAGGAGAGGCCAGTAAGGCAGAGAGGGTGAAGGAAATTCCTATTAGATGGCACTGTGCTAAGAAAAAAGGTAAGATTATCTGGGGGAGCCCACACGACCAGTGGAAAGAGTGTAGGCTTTGGAGACAGATATATTCCACCACCTACCAACTTCGTGACCTGCTCTGAAGTACTGAAGTGACAATTAGAGATACTGTATATAAAGCACCTAAAAGAGTGGCTAACCCATCGCAGATAACTGTTATAGATACTACTATTACTTTCTGCCCATTCTAGGGAAAAAGTGGCTCAGAGTTAGGAGTTTGAAGAAACAGAAAACCCAGAATATCCAGGGCAAAGTCTATTAGGGCAATCCACAAGAAAGGTCTGTAAGACAGAGGATCAAGATGAAATCACACAGAACCTGTGCAAGTCCCGGTCATCATCGTGCCCCAAGCATCAGTACCTCCTGAAGAGCAAACCTACCTGTCCAGATTCTGCCTTTATATATATGTATATGCACATACGTACACATACAGCTTTCACAAGTATACATATATACATACACTTGTGAGTATATGACTATGTATAGTGTGTGTACGAGTGTGAGTGTGTGTGTGTGAAGTTTCCAGAAGTGCTTATCTAACACTGGCAAGACTGTTTCTGAGAAAGAAATTTGACAATGCATTTTCAGGGTCATAAATGTTCATACACTTTGACTTATTACTCCCATAAGAATTTATCTTAAGGAAATAAATCAAAACCTACAAAATCCATCTAAAAATGTTCACTATACTGTTAAGTAAACTACTGAAAAACCTAAGTAATCAACAAGTTAAAAATATATGGTATATCAACTGTAATTTTAGTGAAGAAAACAAAATCCTACATGTTCTTGTTTAAACGATCTAAAAGGCTATATTTATCTGAAGATAAAACAGAAATATGGGTAATTTTTTAAAAAGAGTTCATTCACCTTTCAAAGTGGTAGGATGATAAATTTGTTGTTTTTCTTGTAAGTATGTTTCATTATGGTTATAACATGGTACAGTAAATGCAAATTAGAAAGGGGAGAGAAAGCAATTACCTGGTAACACAAGCTAGACTGGTCTGCAAACTGCTGCAGTTTCCCAAAAGCCCAAAACCATACTGACTAGTACAGTTCCGTTACAATGCCTACCACTAGGACTCTTCTGCTTCCCAGTGATTCAGCACTAATAGATGAGCATTTGCCCTGAAATATTTATTTGTAAGAGCAGTACCTCAAAACAGTTGGTTCAGGCATTCCAGGATCTGCACCCCTCTTGAACCCTGGGGGAGAAGGGGAAGGAGGAGAAAGAGAATAAACAGTTAATTAAAACCCTAGCAGACAAAATATTTATCAAGACTTTCTTTTCTTTTCAAATCAACCTAGGGTAGCTAGAATCATCTACTAACACCATCTAAATTTACCTGTGTGCTACAGATCAGTCTTGAATTTTAACTAGAGTATGAGATTATGTCCAGGACTCATCAGTAGGGAGGACAAATAACCTTATTCTTATTATATACACAATTAGAACTATAGCCCTTAGCATGTACTTTCACTCTTAGTTATTACCCAGAAAAAAAGATGACACAACTACTAAATCATACTGGATAAAAGACTACAAAGAGGGCGCCTGGGTGGCTCAGTTGGTTGGGCGACTGCCTTCGGCTCGGGTCATGGTCCTGGAGTCCTGGGATCGAGTGCCGCGTCGGGCTCCCTGCTCAGCGGGGGGTCTGCTTCTCCCTCTGACCCTCTTCCCTCTCGTGCTCTCTCATTCTCTCTCTCACAAATAAATAAATAAAATCTTTAAAAAAAAAAAGACTACAAAGAGCAAAAAGATTTTTTTAAAAACTACATTTTTAAAAAACAATTAAGGGTATCTTATTTTATCCCCTACAAACCTCTTTTTATAAAGCAATCAAAAACTGGAAGAAAAAAAGAGTGGAAAAAAAAAACCAAGTTATTGTTTAACAACCTAATTAAGTCAACACTTTTATTACAAGTATGATTAAATAAGCCTTTTACCACTTAAAATATATTTATTAACTAACTGGGTAACATATATGCTAATTTGCTGATTGATTAAAATTAGTTAGCATCAAGAACTGTGGGGGTATGAAATTTTACTCCATTTTCAAGACAACAGAGTAGGCTGCCCGTTTCACAGATGCTGGTAGAAGACACAAGATCCTGAGTCAGAAACAAAGGAGAGTTTATTACTCCCAGCAGTTAACTACAGTCAGAATGTCATCATTTTTAGATGAACCCTGAGTTTAGAGAACCAGTCTTTTTTAATGGGCAGTGAGCACTGTCTCCCCTTTGCTCTAAAAGGAAATACTATTTTCCAAGGCTGTTCACTTCACAAACATCCTTAAAAAGATACTATGGAACAAAGGGTGGTCAGAACCTTTGCTCACAGGAGTCATAGAAATTCAAGACACCATGGAGAATGGTCTTCCAAGAGGTGATTCATTAAAATCTTGTGTTAATCAATGTCCAAACAGATTTTTTATCATGTTACCATCTGTTCTACTTTATACCACTATATTCCCACGTACTCCCTGAAGCCCTAAAAGTTATGTATGAACCTAAATTATACAAGAAATTCAATCCAGTTGTAGGTTTTTGTGAGAGCTGAGGTGGAGAAGAAAAAGAAACTACCTGGGAAGTAGGTTAGACACAAAATTAAATTTCTAGGACGTGAAAAGAAATAAACAATTATTAACAAGGAAGTACTAAAAAATAGCTCTAACATTACTCTCAACCCGAGTTAGAAGCTAGGGTGAAAAATCACCATAATGGTATTCCTAAGAAAGAGAATACAGCCAATGTGCGCAAAGAGAAAAATAAACTCTGGGGGCGGGGGTGGGGTGGGGAACATTCTCTTCAAACCAGAGCCCTTGATACACAGAATGTAGCAACCAGCTACACCCTTCTGCTTTGCGGTTGTAGAAAAGGAATCACAAAAAGGGAGAAGGAGGGAAAGGTAGATGTAAAGAATTAATAGAGCAGCAAAGAAACCAGAGGGGCCAAGAAGGCAAGGGTAGGCTAAAAAAAAGGACCTCCCCCCGCTTCCCACACACACAACGGAAAAGGGGGGCATAAAGAAGGGGAAGGATCAAAGTCCCCATATCTTTCTTGGCTAAAAGGAGAGCTAGATCTAGTGTTTGACTAGCTAAACTGGGCCCTTCTACCATGATGTGAAAGCTTGAGGAGGGGAGAGGGAGAAGGGGCAACATAGCCTGTAAGAGCAGGCTATCATAATTATGTGCTCTAATCCTGGACACCTACACAAAGTTGCTAAGATCTGGGAGAATAATGCTTTTTTAAAAAAAGCATTTTAAATAGATAGGAAAAAGATATTTCTAAGTCCTTATACTGAAGTATCCCCAGATTATCAGTTGGCTTGCATTTCATGGGGAAATCGGAGCCACAGAGACCTGGAAAACATCCAGCCAAATCAAAGGCTCCGTCAAGACTGAGAGTGACTGTACTTTATCTTGAACGCTGCATGACACCTAAAATAAATAGGAAGCAGCACCTTGTTAAAACCAAAGGGTTTTAAAAGTGTGAAACTGAGTTTTAGAAAATTTCAAGCTTTATGCCCAACTGACAGAGCTGGGGCTTTTTCCTTTCCTCTGTACACCTGAAACTAACATTGTGTGTCAACTATGCTTCAATTTAAAGAAAAAAACTACTCAAGGCAAGAAATAGGATAAAGTCCCAACGTGCAGCCTTAGGTGAAAATATTTGCCTGAGCACTTACAAATCTTTGCGGTAGGGCATGGCATAGTGCTTAAGAGTATGGGCCTTGATGTCCCATTACTTGAATTCAAAGCTCCCCACTTAACAGCTGTGTGGCCTTCAGCAAGGAACGAAATTTCTCTATGACTCGATTTCCTCACCTATAATATGGGATCTATAACAAAAATCATCCAAACCCTTCATTGTACAGCTGAGAAGCACAGAAATCCAACAACTAATGTCATAATCATACTTCAAGACAGTGGCATACTCACGAGATCTACAGGCCTCTTTCCACCTACGACCACCTGAAGAGGTGAGGACAAATATCCCCGAAAACCCACCTAGTGACAGAGTGAATGAGTCGCTTTCAAATACATCAGGTCGTCTAACTCTCCCAACAATTCTCAAAGGTAGGTCACCTCCATTTTACAGATGGAAAAACAGAATGGGAAGGATTACGTGACTTATTAAAGACCACAAAAAACAGTAGAGACCAAGAACTCGAACTCAGGTTAGACCGACCCCACTGACTAGACTACATCAAAGGACGTGCATCGCGTGGTCGGGTCTCGCTCTCCAGCCCTAGAAAGCCAAAAATGGAGACGAGGCCTCCGCACACCCTTCCCTCCCGGCTCCTCCCAGGTTCTTCTCCTACTGACCCAGGTAAATCACGAGAGGAATAAAGCCCCAGCGGATAGCAAACTGGCCGCCCTTAAAAAGCTGCTGCAGCCTCTGCTTGGCCTCTTTGCTCAGCTTCACCATGGCGACGGCCCCGGAGGCTTAGCGAGGACTCTCAATACCAGCTGCAGCGTAGGGAAGCCGAAAAAGGAAAGAGATGCGCACGCGCCGAACACGGCATTTACGGCAGGAGTCGTGAGCGTCGCCAGCAGAGGTCGTAATTCACCGCCCGTCCCGACCTGCCTCTCCCCTCTACGGCGCCACCTGCGGACGGCGCGTGCGTGTCTGGTTCACCCTGCTCAGAGTCTCGTCTTTCCTTACGTTTTAGGAATCCCCTGTTTTTGATGATTGTGGGATACTGAAGGCAGTGCGCTGGAGCTTCCTTCAGCCTGAAACGCCCTTTCTCCTCCCACAGTCTTACCCATTTTTTTAAAGTGCACCTCCAAGTGTTCCTCGCCTGACACAGGAGGAACATTAAATTCTGTGTTTTAGTCCTGACTCAAACTGACTTGCTTTGGACAAGTTACTTAACCTCTCTCAGTATCAGTTGTTTCTTCAAGCGAAGGCTGAACTACAAGGGAGATTACGAACTGGTGCCCAGTAGGGCCCCTATCCATGTTTTCTTTGACTCCCGCGGTGTTTGGTTGTTTTTCTTATTTGTTTTAACATTATAAATTACTTGCCAACATTTTAGAGTTTGGAAAATTACACTTGGAAATCTGTACTTTTACAAAGCTGGCGGATCCCTTTGCAACAATCAACAGGAGTAAGAGGGAAATGACACACCTGTTCACCCATTTGTCCTCATTCGTTTAGAATTGCAGTAGTTCTCACCCCTGGCTTCACGTTAGACTCACCTGAGGAGATTTAAAGACATACGAAGGCTGGGGACATAATCCTAGAAATTCTGATTTCTTACCGGTAGGACCTGGCCATTGGTTTGCCATTAAAGTTTCCCAGGTGATTCTAACGTGTAACCAGCATTCCCAACTTTTGATTCATTAACTGCCTGGCCACTGTTGTTATTTGAGCTTTTGATCCTAGCTAGGACTTCTTGATTTCTAAGGCTGTAAGAGATTTCTGAGGCCTTGCCCCTGAAGGTTTTCCTGGATCATCCCCGAGATACATTATAACATTTTCTGTCAAAATCGCAAGGTGCCCAGTGGCACCTGAAAATTTCCCCTGGCTTTATGGCTATTCCTGTACTTAGCTCATCTTCATGCTAATAACCTGTGACTGCTATATCTGTAAAATGAGAACTACAACATATACATACATATATATATACACATCTACATATACATTTTACAGATAAGGAAACTGTTTCTAATCTTTTTATCCAAATGCCTAGTAAAGATACATTTCTGTCAGTTGAGCTGAACAAAACCAGTCATTTGCCTTCATCAAACATACATTGAGTGTTACACTATGCTAGGAACTAGAGATAGAAGATTGCCCTTAAGAATTTCATGTTTGAGTGGAAAAGACAAGAGTAAATAGATGATTCCAATGCAATGTGAATGTGCTAAGTTCCATAATAAAGTTATACACAACATATGATGGGAAGGTAGATGAATTTTAGAAGGGGAGAACTAGCACTGTGAGCTGAGATGATCAGAAAAAATTTCATAGAGAGCATGGAACTTAGCTGGCCTTGATGAGTGTTTATAGGTATAGAAACTCAACTTTATCTATTGAGGTAGAGATTGACTCCTTTTCTTCAGCCTTGGCCCCTCCAGTTTTCCCTCCAAACTTAATATCCTGCTGCAAAACTTCAGTACTAAATCATTAAAAGATATATAAAAAGCACACATAAGAGATTCCTCTCCTATTATAATAATAATCACCAACTATTTGTTACTATGTGCATAGAGAGAAAGAAAAACAGAGAAATAGACTCCAAACTCTTTGTAGTAATAATCATTTCAGGGGACAGGGAAGGAATTATTGGAAATCTTCAGTTTCCATGTATATATCTCTGTGGTATGTCAATTGCTCTTCATAATGTGCACATATGACTTATCAAAAGAAAAAACAATAAAGGTAGATTTTAAAACAAAATAAAACCCTCCAAGGACTCCTCATTGCCTTTAAAAGATTAACGATCCATTGCACAACCTACGTGGTCCTTGAAAGTATCATATTATCTCTCATCTCTGCTGTTACCTCTGCCAGACATGCTTCCCCACGCCCTTTTCTTTTTTTTTAAAGATTTTATTTATTTATTTGGCAGAGAGAGAGACAGCAAGAGAGGAAACACAGCAGGGGAAGTGGGAGAGGGAGAAGCAGGCTTCCTGCTGAGCAGGGAGCCCGATGTGGGGCTCAATCCCAGGACCCTGGGACCATGACCTGAGCCGAAGGCAGACGCTTAACAACTGAGCCACCCAGGCACCCCACCCTTTTCTTTCTTAAGAGCCAGTCGAGTATCTCCTCTAAAATGCAATCTCCTTTAACTTGCTCCTGCTCCTGTCTAGGGCAAGTTGAACACTCTGTTTTTCTGTACTGCCACTTTTGAGTTGATTTATTATTATTTAAATGCCTATCTCCCCAAGTAGATTATAGGCAGAAACTCTGTCTCATTAATCTTATATCCCCAATGACTGTATTTATAAACACTTGTAGAATTGGTGAATGAATTTCATCAGGACCTAATAGCCTTAGTTAATCATGCTGCTTAATCAGCCACAGAGCATATCTAAAATGCTTATTTGTAAGGGTACCTGGGTGGTTCAGTTGGTTAAGCGGATGCCTTCCGCTCAGGTGGGATCGAGCCCTGGCATCAGGCTCCCTGCTCAGCAGGAAGCCTGCTTCTCCCTCTCCCACTCCCCCTGCTTATGATCCTGCTCTCGCTCTCTCTCTCTCTGTCAAATAAAGAAATAAAATCTTTAAATAAATAAATAAATAAATGCTTATTTGTAAATTTACAATTAGAGATATCCTTAGCAAAAGAACTCATTTTCTCCTTGCTAGTGAGCAAGACTACTCAGACAATCAATTAGAAATGATAACTTGGGAACCTGGGTAGCTCAGTTGGTTAAGCGTCTGACTCTTGATCTCAGCTCAGGTTTCAATCTCAGGGTCATAAGTTTCGAGTCCCACGTTGGGCTCCACGTGGATGATAGCTAATACTTACCAGGCACTTACTTTGTGCATGCACTGGGCTAAGTGCTCACATGCCTTAACTCAATGAATCCTCACAGCTCTATGAGGCTATATTTTCATTCTCATTTTATAGATAAGGAAGTTGAGGCAGAGGGAAGTGAAGTAAATTTCCCCAAGTTCAGATAGCTGGTAAGTGATAGAAGGAGGGTCTAAACCCAGACACTCTTAATCCAGAACTTAAATGTCAACCATAACACTAGACTGCCTTATAGAAGAGACATAAACACAATACTAGAAAAAAAAGCCATTGTCTATTCACAAAGAATATTTTCCTCAAGCTGTGATAGATGAAAGGACTCTTTCCATTGTCCTGCAGCAACACATATGATTAGACCAAACCTAAAGGGATGACCAGTAACCTAAAGGAATGCTGAGTGGCTGAACCAGATCAGATCCTCTCTAAGTGATATTTGAACTCAAGATGGAAAGAAATAATTTGACTGCAGCTGGTAAGACAGAGAGAATGGATGACATGAAGCAGTAGAAGTCATAAGTAGGCAGAAGCCATGAAGTAGAGAATATTGAATTATAACGATATCACAGTCCTCAGATTAAGAATAACATGTTTTCTGGTGAGAGGGAAACAAGACATTGCCACCCAGAGTTTGTTGTATGCCAAACAACCTTCCATTCCCAGCATTGTTTCAAAGTTGGTAAGCCTGACTATGTCGTGGTTCCTGTTCTGTGATGTAGAGGAAAGTGGAACTAATCAATTACATTGTATCCCCTGTGGCCTCAGCTAATTATAGAATAACAGAAGAGTGGTGAAGACATAAAGGTAAGAAAATAAGGGGGGAAAACTGTCAGGGTTTCACCAGCACCATCCAAAGAAAAGATTCTACTGGCTTCTCTTAGGGGTAAAGAAACAAACAAAAAAACCTCCAGAAAGGATTAGATGGTTGAGCTTTTTTTGTTGCAAGGAGGGAGAAACCTACGGAACTGTGGGTCGTCAAGATGTATCTGACAGCACAGCCAGGCTTCCTGGAAGACCAGGGTCATTCCTTGGGCGCCTGGGTGGCTCAGTCGTTAAGCGTCTGCCTTCGGCTCGGGTCATGATCCCAGGGTCCTGGGATCGAGTCCCACATCGGGCTCCCTGCTCAGCGGGAAGCCTGCTTCTCCCTCTCCCACTCCCCCTGCTTGTGTTCCTGCTCTCGCTGTCTCTCTCTGTCAAATAAATAAATAAAATCTTTAAAAAAAAAAAAAAAAAGACCAGGGTCATTCCTTTGAATATCTATCTCCACAGTAGTAAAATGGGAACAGTAACTATCATTCTGGACTGAACTGTATCCCCCCAAAATTCCTATGTTGAAGCCTCAACCCTAGTGAAGGAGTTTGGAGGTAAGACCTTTAAGGAGGTCAAGTGTAGGGTCCTCATCTGATAGGGCTGGTGTTCTTCTAAGAGAAAAAGATGCCAGAGCTCTCTCTCCACGTGCAAGCGTAAGGAAGGCCACATGAGGACACAGAGAGAAGGGGCTATCGGTAAGCCAGGAAGAGAAGCCTCGCCTGTCTGCACCTTGATCTGGGAGGTGGAGCCTCCAGAACTGTGAGAAAATAAATGTGTTGTTTAAGCTGCCCAGTCTGTGGTGTTCTGTTATGGCAGCCTGCGCGGATGAATACACCACCTAATTGGGTTGTGTGTGAGAAAAATTAAATCCGAGAGTATAAATGTACTAACTAAGTACCATGTTTTGGGTACCTCTCTGGGCAAGGCATTTCACGACCTCATTTCTTGTCTTCCAAAACTCATGCTCTTGTACCCCCTCACACTGCCTGGTACATAGTTGGTTTGCTGAATTTCAAATCTGAATAGCAAAGTCTTACATCACATTTACAAGCCATAATTTTTTTATGCATTTTTCCATATATTTTTCTGGCATATTGAGTACAGACAGTGTGCAGTAACCCCTGCTATGCATAATTATGTGCAGAGAAAAGAAAATAAGGCACAGCCTTCCACTTAAAGATTTTATGGTCTAGTTAGAGAAGACAAGAATATTAATAAGTGACTTGTCCATGTGACTA